TTTTTTTTTTTTTTTTTTTTGCATTATAAAAATTTTTATAATATTTAATCATTATTTATTCAAAAAGCTCTCTGCTCATTGAAATGAAATATTCAGAACGAGCCACTAAATGTGAAACGTATCGCGAGTGACATACGGTTCGAAGCAGCGTGACTCGCGCCGTATCTTTGGCGGCCGCGATATTGTATTGAATTCGTATTTACTCGCGCCGATCAAGGTTGATTTGAATTATGCTTTCTATCCGCGCTAGGCCTTGTAAAGCGGTTGATCGGGACAGACAGTTGTAACAGTTCGTAAACCTTAATTGAGAGCTATGCCGGCTATGCGAGTCCGTATCGCTGACAGGACCCCCATTGTCGCATCGAGGGCTACGTCGTCGAGCAGGACCGACGTTTCCTTCGAGAGTCGAAGAAGATGACGTTGTGGGCCCAAAATAAAGCGCACACCTATACGCCATCCATGACTCTTCAAAAATATTTTAGGACCAATTTTAAGATGCAGAAACTTCTCAAGCAGGCAGTTTCCATCTGTACATGTTTTTTTTTTAATTTTAGACACTAAAGGACATATATTAAAAGAATTACATTTATCCGATAACATCGCTGTAATATTATTCGTTATAGATAAAAAATATTTTCGGATCCAAGATAATTCTAATAGTTCGTAGCGAAGTGCTCGATTTCGCGTGAGTTCGATTTTAGAGATAGATTGAATTTGGTATTCATAACGTCGAGCTCAGCGTAACGCACCACTCAACAACGATATATCATATCGTCGAATGAAAAAATGACCGGAGCGTAGGTAGACGGGGATGAAAGATTCGAGAGGGATCGACGAGGAAGAGCAACGAAAAAAGGGAGAGAGAAAGAGAGCGAGAGAGGCGGATTTTTAAAGGGGGAAAGGGATAGATAGAGGAGCCTGTGGTCGTGGATGGTCGCTATCAGGGACTCGCTATGATTAATGATCGAGTACAATACTGTTTTCATTAAACTCATTTCACTGCAGCTCGCATGTACCGCCACGCTACGGGCGACCTATGGCCCAGGACATACGCGCGCCCTTGGGCCCTTTTTCACGTTGGCGGTAGGGTCGCTTGGCCGCTTGATTATGACGTCTCCATAAGAATCGACCTTGGCCGACTCGAATGGCGTTCGACTGAATTCGGCCATTGTTGCCGAACTTGTTGACGAGCTTCATCTTAAATTCGTCGGCTTCGTAATCATCTTTGTTGAAATTACGTTTTATGATCGGACTCTGGTACCGATCACATCTCTCTTCGAGAGCGAGTCTCCTTCACCCTGCTCCTTAACACCTTTTAGATGCCGCAACGTCGTTAATTACGGTCAACGCTCGTTACATCTCTTTCAATCTAATTTTCCAGCTAATTTACTCTTTGTTACGATTTATGCACTGTTATTCATTGATTAATTATAATTAGCAGATAAATCAATATTTATAATATTATATAATTAATGCAGTTCGATAAACTTTACTCGTGGTGACGAGTTGTGTTTGTCTGAATATTTTATGGCATCTCAGAACGAAAGGAGATCCTTTCGTTCGATCGGACCTATCGCTTACCGGAAAAAGTTATTTCCAGGATGATGGCAAAGAGCCTGAACCGCAAGAAGATGATCCTTGGGCAGGACTTCCTTACACTGTGGATCTTGAAACCGGTAAGCTTATTTGCGATATTTTTTTTTATCTCTGTGTCATCTCTTATATTTATATAATAATCAATTTAAAAAAACGCATTTGATCGATTAAAGACGATAATATTATGACTAAATAAGCTATTTTAATCGGCATTGTTATTCCAAAATAAATATTTCTTTACGTTGCCAACGTGTCGCTTTCAGTTTGTATTTTGTTACACGTTTATCGGAGATGATCGAAGTTTCGTTTACAAATACTAATTAAAGAATTGGTCAGTACATACGTTGCGCGCATGTTTTATGTTTAGCACATTAGTTCGTGTGCTAGCAAGAACAACTAAATACATCTGCCGTTCTTGCTGCTCTTTATGTCCAGAGCGTATCGAATTAACGCGGCAATTTGTAAGATCCAATCCGAACATTCGCTATAGTCCCGAGCCTGCCGCACCTGGCCGCACCTTTGCGCGGCTAATTAGCATAAACACGCCGACCGAATGCACTTCGCCGATCATTCTTTTAGAAATGTACCGTACACCGTGAAACACCTTGTCACCATACATAGTGAAAGAACACATTATCAAAAACGTCTAGTCTTAAACTTAAAAAATGGTGTTAAAAAATTAAAAATGCAAAAAATATTTCGGGCGACTCTTAATAAGATATCAAAGGTACTAGAGCAATTAAATTGAATATTATAATTTTTCATGAATAGCGATTACGAATATGGTCGCAGGGTTATATAATTAAGTAACTGGTTCGTCAAAATTAAAGACTCTAATCGTAATATAAAATCAACAGAATTATAATATTGTATAAATGGAATCCGTATATCATATAAATATGATATATCGTTTTTTTATTTTTTTTTTTGCATTTTTGTCGCACGCATTTTCTGTCGCATAATAAAAAGAGAAATAAATACGTTACCAGCGAGAAATGTTATGCGACACGAGCTGCATGTGGGAGAACGATCGAGGATACTTGCGCGAATGTCGGGAGCGAGAGAGAAATGGAAGGAGACTGTAACGAGCGCGCATGTAACACACCGCGGCGTCTACCTGCATGCCAAGGTGCACTTTATTCAGGTATATAACTACGGGTTTCCAAGCAGGCAGGTTCCAGTTCCGGAGGACTCGAGGTTGGGGAGTGGCTTCAGGAACGCCCTCGCTACCTTCCTCCCTACCTTCCCGTCTTTTCAACCCCACCAGCCTGTCCAGCCCTTCGGTCGGGTTCGGTTCCCCTCTCCTTCTCTGCATTTAATTACTTTGCGCCCGACAGAATATACGCCTAGCTATGAGACACTCTACGTCGAGCATGCTATCGACGGTTGACGAAGGTCCGCTTGTTAAATTCTCCTTAGAAATCTATATATATATATATA